ACCCAATAATTCTTTAATATTGGAATTCTATATTATAAAATAATTTCTTAATATCAGTATTAGTATTCACATTTCCCTGATTGTCATGTACACACACAGTTTGCTTGCTTGAACTGGGAGTCAAATAAGATGATATAGATAGATAGATAGATAGATAGATAGATAGATAATTGATATAGTGATTGGTTGATATGTCTCTTAAGTCTCAATTAATCTACAGGAGTGCCCCCTTGTCCATGCCTTTGCTTTCTGTGGTTTCAGTTACCCGCGGTCAACCGCGGTCTAGAAGCAGATGATCCTCCTTCTGACCTATTGTCAGAAGGTCGGTAGTAGCCTAGTGGTGTATCACAGTGCCTACGTCATCCACTTCATTTCATCACGTAGTCATTTTATCATCTCCTGTCATCACAAGAAGGGTGAGTTACAGTACAATAAGATAGTTTGAGAGAGAAGACCATTCATGTAACTTTTATTATAGTATATTTTTATAATTGTTCTATTTTATTATTGCTGTTAATCTTTTACTGTGCCTAATTTATAAATTAACGTATCAAGGGTATGTATGTATGAGGAAAAACATGGTATGTCGGGGTTGGCACTGTTCATGGTTTTAGGCATCCACTGGGGGTCTTAGAATGTACCCATGGGGATAAGGGGGACTACTATATAAATGCCCCTCTATCAGTTTTTATTTTTCTTTGCAGTATTTTTTGTTGTTGAAGAAATTGGCTTATTTCTCCTGAATGATTTTCTATATGCTATACCTTTTTGATTGTGTACTATGATTTTTTAATGCTCCCCCAGAACAAAAAAAAAAAAAAAAAGTTCTGGTATCCCCTGTAGTTCCTGAAAGTGGGTAGTTAGACATAGATCAGTGCTGTTCAGTAGACATATAATATGACCCACATGTGGCATTTTTTAAAAAGTAAAATTAATTTTACTACTGTATTTTGTTCAACCCAGTATATCTTAAAGAGTTATTTCAGTGTGTAAACAATATAAAATTATTGATGAGATATTTGACAATCTCTTTGTACTAAGTCTTCAACATACAGTATCTATTTATGTTTCCAGCACATCTCAATTTGGATGCTAAATTTTCCTTGGATATACTTGATCTGTATTTTGCTACCTTAAACTTTACAATTGAAAAAGGAGAACCACATAGCCAGGTTTTTTCCAAATATACTTAAAAGTTTTCTAGTAACTAAGTTGAATGTTGGTTTTTACATCCATCAACATCCATTAAAATCGGTCATATGTGGCTTATGGCTACCGTACTGGACAGCTCTGATATAGGGGTTTGATTAGATTCAAGTTTGGGGGGTTTGTTTTGGTCAAGTTTGGGGGTTGTTATGACTGGTCATAAGTGGCGTTGTTAACTTTAATCAGGAGGTTGGTAATGTCTGATTGTGATTCTTTTTGTGTGGTTTGCAGCCATGGTGGCTGTTGTCTAGATTCATTAATTTGTCTGTGGTTGCAAAATGGTAATCTTCTTACTCTGTCATTCTTCTTTCTTAGCTGGAATACTGTAAAGAGAGATTTCCTCTTATCAATTACTTGGTTACTCTGAGGTATGCAGTTTATATTAAAAAGGCAGGGTATGTAGGCTTGAATCTTTTATTACTAGTTTATAAAATAATGAATTTGTTCTTTGGCATTCTCAAGATTTGTTCACTGAGTTTTCAGGTATATCATTATGAACTCAAGGATTTAAACATATTAGATGTGTTGCACTGTTGTGGTTGTTATCCTTCTTGTTGATCAAGTTGTTGCATCTTTGGCCAGTGAGAACTGGTTCAAGTTGGCTTCTGAATCATTTTGACATAACTGTTACAGACTTTTGTCTTCCTTGCTTTCTGGTATGTCCAGGTTCATCCTTTACATTTCCCCAGATCTATAATTAGCCATTTCTCTCTGAGAAGCCTTGACTTCTTGCAGTTAGAAATGCTATTTAGCAACCACCAACTGAGCACTGGAGTGCTTATGACTGCTGGGTTGCTGAGTGCTTCTAGAACGTTTCAGTAGACCGGGCTACAGGATGCATTTTTTATTTTGAAGGAAAAATGTTACCATGAGTTCACATTGATACTTCAGTTGAAATTGTAATTTTCACAGTTTAACATCATTGGTTTTATATTTGAGTGCCCTCAGTTATTCTTGCTAAAAATCTTGGTTCCTAGCAACACTAACGTAATAATGTATTTTTTATCCTATTCTCTATATATGTAATAGTTTGAAAATATCAATGAGATATTCTTAGTAATAATTTGATTATTGAATGCTATTGAAGATTTCCTTGAAGTCCTCTTTGCTGTTAAGCTAATGGCTCGTTGAACATGTACGGCATGTTCCTGTATTTTAAAGTGATTTGAAAGAATCCTCTAGGAGTGTTTAATCAGCTTAATATATAGTCATGGTTCTTTGTTTAGTTTTCCATTTTTAAGGGGCTGCTCATTTTTGCATTTTGATTTTTTTTCCAACTTTACTTTGAAAATTTTCAAATCCACAAAAAAATCGAAAGAATAGTACAATGAATGTTCACATGTCTTTCACTTTACACTCCCCAATGAATAATTTTCCGGTTTTTTTCCCTCTCTCATCTTGCTTGATTCCCTCCCTCTGCACTACATGCGTTTTGTTTTTTGCTGAACCATTTGAAGGAAGTTGCAGACTTCAACTCTAAATACTTCAGCTAATAACAAGGGATTCTCCATAACCACAATTCCATATTACATTTAAGAAAATTAATAATGTCATATCTAATATCCTGCCCATTTTTAAATTTCCTTAGTTATTCCAAAAAAGTTTGTTTTTTTTAAAAAAATTTTTTTTCAACGTTTTTTTTAATTTATTTTTGGGACAGAGAGAGACAGAGCATGAACGGGGGAGGGGCAGAGAGAGAGGGAGACACAGAATCGGAAACAGGCTCCAGGCTCTGAGCCATCAGCCCAGAGCCCGACGCGGGGCTCGAACTCACGGACCGCGAGATCGTGACCTGGCTGAAGTCGGACGCTTAACCGACTGCGCCACCCAGGCGCCCCTAAAAAAGTTTGTTTTTAATAATTGTTTTAAACTGTGATCCAATCAAGATTCACGTATTGCTTTTGGTTGATCTCTTTTTAGTTTCTTTTAATGTGAAGCATTCCCACATCATTGATCTTTTGAAGTCTATGTGTTGTCTTGAATGGATATGTTATGGATATGTTTGTTTCCTTTCATTGTTGCTAACCTTGTTCTACCTACCCTTATTGTTTCCTATAAATTGGAAGTTTGATCTAGTCTGGGTTGGATTTGGGTTAAGTAATTTTTTGGCCAGAACCTTTCATCGGTGATGCTGTGTACTCTGTATTGCATCATGCCAGGAGGCATGTAACGTGAGGATGTCCTACTACTATTCATGATGTTAAGTGTGGTCCTCAGTTAAGGTATCAATTGCCACATTTCTTACTGTTGTCAGTAGTAACTAGTCATCTTTAGGGTGATTGTTTGGTATATTGTGAATGTCTTGTTCCCAACAATCTTTTTACCTGGTGGTTTTCACATTTTGATCGAATTTTCTTTTATAATTCTATAAAATCTTAATATGGTTCTAAAACCAAAAGTATAACATAAGGTACATGAAAATAAGTTTAACTTTCTTTCCTATCCCCTTCATCTCCCTTCCTTTATATGTAACCATTTTAATTGGTTTTTAGATTATCCTTTTTTTGTTGTTGTATTTTAAAAATACAAATATATCTGTAAATATGCAAAGATACTCCCATTCCTTCTCTTAGATATAAAAAAAAAGCATTCTATTGTGTACCTTTCATAGTTCACTTATATCCAGGAGACCACTTCATAGCAGTGTAGAGAGATCTTTAGAAGGGTTTTTCTAAAATGTGTATATTTGTGCATCCATTTGTGTATATTCATGTCCTTCCTGTGCTTGAAGCCATTCAGTGGTACCTCACCTCCCTTGGGATAAAGTCCAAACCTCTTACAAGGCTTAAAAAGCCCTTTATCATCGGGCTTCTGCACATGTCTCCAGCCTTACCTCATCCCCCAGCATGCTTATGTGCACGCGTGCACACACACATGCACACAGTGCATAATTATTGCCATATTGAATTGCCCCCCCCACCTTTATTTGGCTTTTGAAATTTATTAAAATTGGTTACTTTTTTGAATTGGTTTGACTTCCCTGAATGAACCACAAGCAGACCCCTGGTTTTGCATGTGATGCTCCTGTCTGCCTAGGCTGTTCCTTCTCTCTGTCCTCACCATTCATCCTGTAGGCCTGAGCTTAAACATATTTCTGGAAGCCTTCCGTAGCCCGAGTCTGAGTTAGTTGCCCTTCTTATGTGCTGACCCAACACCATCTGTTTATCATTGTTTTGGTATTCATTGTACAGTGTTCTGATTGTTTACTTATATGCCTTCCTCTGTTAGTCCATGAGTTCCGTGAGCACAGGAGCCCTGGCTCACAGGATATGAGAGCCCCAGTGCCGCCTGGCATTTAGAAGGCATTTAGTAAATATTTATTGACTGAAAGTGGCAGAAAGGCACAGGCGCAGACAAGCATTGCAATACCATAAGACCTAAAACTTAAATGGAATTTGCTCAGATGTGGTGATCTGAGCAGAAAACGTGAGTTGCCTTATTCATTGTGGAGCCGTAGGTGGAGTCCAGACCAGCCTGTGTGGGAGCCTCTAGGTCACCCTGGGATGGTACTGGCTCATGGCCTGGGCTGAGAGCCAGAGAGGGGCACCACCAGCTGCTCTTCCTGAGAGACGGAGAGGTTGGCAGGGCCTGGGGGAAGGGCTAGAGATGAGAAAGTGGCGTCAGCCTGTAATTTCCAGGGTGGTAGGAATGGTTCCTGTGAGGAGGACCTGGTGGAAGGAGCTGAACTAGGGCAGAAGAGCTTCTACATGGGAGCAAGTGCTCAGGCCCCCACTTGGTGGAGCATCTCTTTTGGAGATGGCCCTTCTTGATGTTGCTGGGCCTGGGGTTTACAGGATGCCCAGGCCGAGGAGGAGATCAAACAGGAGATGAATACACTGCAGCAGAAGCTCAATGAGCAGCAGAGTGTACTCCAGCGTATTGCTGCCCCTAACATGAAAGCCATGGAAAAGCTGGAAAGTGTCCGAGACAAGTTCCAGGAGACCTCAGATGGTAAGATTTTTCCCTTTTACTTGGGTCTAAGGTGAAGGCAGAAGGCCGGAATTACAGCAAGGGCTTGTTACATATCACAGCAGCTCCCCTTTTTACGTGCTTTCTTAACTTGAAATTCCCAAGAGCCCTAAACAGTAGGGGTTAATTACCACACTTGTTTTATAGAGTAGAAAACTGCTGAGGTTCAGAGGGGGTGAATGACCCACCCAAAGTCACATAGCCCCTACCTACTACAGCATATCTGGCCTTGGTTTCCTGGACCTGTCTTTCCCATCCACCCTCATCCACTCAGCATGCCCTCACTGGCCCCTGCATGTATTCAGTCCTACCACCAAGCTTTTGCTTACATGGTTGCTGGCTAACAAGCTATTTCTATGCAAATCTAGCTTGACCGTCACCTACCTGAGCCCAGGGAAGAATTCATATTTTTGTGGCTCCAAGCCCATGTTTCTTCGTTTATACTATGTGGCTGGCCCACTCGTGATGGATGGGTGGTTGTGGGATCATTTTCCTGGGACCCTCCCCAGACATTCCTCTCCCTTTGGGATGTCCCTGCTCTGCAGATTGTCATTTGCAGGTCATTCTTGCCAGGGTATGGTCCTCAGCCTTGGCAGAGCCTAGGCACTGAGGAGTCACCTGTCTTTCCCTTGTGGCAGAATTTGAGGCAGCCCGAAAGCGAGCCAAGAAAGCCAAGCAGGCATTCGAACAGATCAAGAAGGAGCGCTTTGACCGCTTCAATGCTTGTTTTGAATCCGTGGCCACCAACATTGATGAGATCTACAAGGCCCTATCCCGCAACAGCAGTGCCCAGGTAGGCTGGAGCCCCTTACCCAGCTAGCCCCTACCATCCTGTTGCCCTTCCCTTTAGGCATCCTGTCCCCATCCTCATTTAGATGCAGACCCAGACCCAGATTCTGATCCATCTGCCTTCTCCCTAGGCATTCCTGGGCCCTGAGAACCCTGAGGAGCCCTACTTGGACGGCATCAACTACAATTGCGTGGCTCCTGGCAAACGCTTCCGGCCAATGGACAACTTGTCAGGGGGGGAGAAAACAGTGGCAGCTCTGGCCTTGCTCTTTGCCATCCACAGGTAAGGCTGCTCCTCCCAGGGCAGTTGGCGGAGAGACTGAACTGAGGCCACCAGAGGCTCTGGGGCCCAAGGATATGCAGAGATCTGCAGAGGTGAAGATGTTCTGGTGGAATCTGGATTGCATCCCTGTTTCCCTACCTACTACAGCATATCTGGCCTTGGTTTCCTGGACCTGTCTTTCCCATCCACCCTCATCCACTCAGCATGCCCTCACTGGCCCCTGCATGTATTCAGTCCTACCACCAGGCTTTTGCTTACATGGTTGCTGGCTAACAAGCCCTTTCTGTGCAAATCTAGCTTGACTGTCACCTACCACACCTTCACATCTCATTTTCCTCCTCCTGTTCCTCTAGGAAGCCTGCTTTGACCACTATGGCATACCCTGATCTCCCCCTCCTGAATGCCAATAGTACTTGAGTCTGACCCCCACAACTTAGTACTTGATTGTACAGCGTCATTCAGCAAGCATTTCTTGAGGGCTGCTCTGTACCAGACTCTGTTGGGGGATTAGGAACACAGATGAGTCAGACATGGTCTCTGTCCTTGAGGAGCTCATGGTCTAGTGAAAGCCAGATGTGTAAACAGCAAGCTAAGTGTCGTAACTGGGTGAGCGTGTGTGCTGTGGATGCACAGAGGAGGGATACCAACCCAGTCTGGGGGAGGGTCTGGGTGGTCAGGGAAGGCTTTTGAGGGCAGGTAACACTTGAGCAGGAAATGCAAAGGATGAGTAGAAGATAGCCAAGAGACCAGGAGGCATTCTAGGCAGAGGGTGCAGCATGTACAGAGAGGCAGGGAGACACAGCAGTGTGTGCAGGTGGGTGGGGAGGACCTTCAGGTAGCTTGGACAGTGTGGCCAGAGTCTAGGACCGCTTTATCTCCCCAGCAAGTCTGGAAGCTCTGGAGAGAACCATGTCCTCTCCTGGTTCTGTAGGTTCCTGGAGCACAGGGTTGGATGCAGAGGAGGGCTCAGTTGGTATACTGGCCTTTGGGGGCTCAGGCAACATTATGACCTGGGGTTTTTAGTCTCTGAAGAAGTGGAGGGGGATGCTGGCCTGTGTGATGGGCCCTGGGGCTTTCCCGCCCCACCCCTGCCCCCATCAGTGTCAGCTCACCTACTGGTTCCCTCCCAGCTACAAGCCAGCCCCCTTCTTCGTCCTGGATGAGATCGATGCTGCCTTGGATAACACCAACATTGGCAAGGTGGGTGCAAGGAAAGTGGGGCCCGGGAGGGAGGCCCCTAGCTTGGGGCTGGGTTTCAGGGAGCAACTCCTGAGTGTGCTCTAGCCGTTCCTGCTGCCTGCTCTCTGTGCCTGGGAGGCTGGGCCCAGGGTCATTCACGCCGTGCTAGTCAGTGGCCTCTCAGCCTCTTTTCCCCCAACCCTTCACCCCTTACCCCACCCCCTCTGCCTCTGGTTCTGACTGGAAAACACAAGGGAGTGTTAGGGCTTCAGCCCTGCTAAGTGCCCGGCGGCCCCTCCCACAGGTGGCAAATTACATCAAGGAGCAGTCGACTTGCAACTTCCAGGCCATCGTCATCTCTCTCAAGGAGGAGTTCTACACCAAGGCTGAGAGCCTCATTGGAGTCTACCCCGAGGTAGGGCGGGCCTGGCTCAGGAGCCAGCCCCACTCCCTGCCTGACTCCCCAGGGCAGGAAGGGAAGGCTGCAGTGGAGGGCCATGGGGGTGGGGGAGCATAGGGACTCAGGTCCTGAACAACCATCTGGGCTTGTTGGAGCCCTGCCCTTGAGGCTTAGCCAGCCCAGCTGGGCAGGGCCACTGCGTCTGGGGACAAGTGGAACGGCCAGGCAGAGGCAGCCAGACAGCAGAGAAAAGGAGGAGAATGCAGAGGTAGGCAGGGAGAGAAGGCACATGGGACCGAGCACATCCTCTCACACCCAGAGAGAACCATTGCTTGGGCTTTGGGCAGGTATGTAGGGAGGAGGGTTTGAGGCCCCCAGTCCTGGGGCGCTAGACCCCCTCCCTCCCTTAATTCTCTCCTTACAATTTCATTTTTCTTTTTCTCCCTCCTCCTTCAGCAAGGGGACTGTGTGATCAGCAAAGTCCTGACCTTCGACCTCACCAAGTACCCAGATGCCAACCCCAACCCCAATGAGCAGTAGCAGTAGTTCTGCCCTCCTGCCCTGTCTGGATCCCTAAGCTGCCCCTCTCCCAATCTCTCAATACTTGGCTCCCAACCTTCCCCTACCTCCTGTCCCTGTTTGGTATAGTCATGGGATTTAGGCACTGCTGTCAAGCATGAAGAGGAACAGAGGTGATGTTAGGTCTGGAGCAAAAATTCCTGAGCTACAGGGAGCATCCTGGCCTTTGGAAGGAGGTGCTGAGCTGAACTGAGCCGAACAGGGCCATCTGTCCATTCTTTCTTCCCTCCCCCCGCCTTCCCCTCCCCAGACCCCCCTCCCATCACCCATAACCATAGGTCCCTTGGGCCTCTTGCATCTTGCTTGTGTGTGGGTATGTATGTGTGTATATATGTGTCTGCGTGTGTGCATGTGGGTGTGTTAGCACAATAATAAAGATATCGGAGATTCATTTTAGAAGGAGCCTAGGCTGAACTTGATTCTAAGAGAGCTTAGTATGACAGCACCCCAGAGCTGGGCAAAGGTATTCAGGACCTCATAGGAGTCAGTCATGTGAAACTGCCCTCATTTCACTGATTCGTGTGTTCATTCATTTGTGTGTTTATCAGACATATATCGAGCACTCTTTATTTGTCAGGCTCTATTCTAGAAATACAGAGCTGAATCAGACATGATCTCTACCCTCCTACTGAGGAGATGCAGTAGGTTCATGATTTCCCATGGTCAGCTGAATTCTATGTATATGTACTTTGAGAAGAGGATGATCACCTCCAGGCTTCCTGGAGAAGGTCACATTTGAGCTGAACCTTGACAAATTGGTAGGATTTGCTTGGGCACTAGGAGCAGAGCCTGGGCTCTGGGGACAGACAGTTTTGGGTTCTCGTCCTTTTTTTAAGTCGCTAATCTGATGTTGAGCAAGTCATTTGACCTTTCTGTGCCTCAGTTTCCTCATCTGTAAAATGGGGCTAACAATATTACCTACCTCATAGGATTTAATGATGTCAAGCTCCTCACTGGGGGCCTTATCCCTGCTTGGAGCCCACTAGGTGCCGACCCCTCAGAATACAAGCCTTCTCATACCTAGACCCCTGTGGGCTCTGATCCCAATTGTTAGGGACAGAAAGAGCCTCCAAATCTGGAAGATACTGGATGCCTAGCTTTTTGAGAAAGTTCCAGGGCACCAGTGGGGTTTATCTGGTAAGTGAAGGGCCTAAGGAAGCCTATAGCTTCAATCGTGTGGTAACCAGGTGCCTGGGCCCCAACCTGGGTTGTGAGGAAGTCGGGGAGAGGTAGCCTGGGCCACATCCCGGCCGAATGTGTGTGAAGTTCCTTTTGGGAACTAACTGTGTCAGCTGTAGGGACCGTGCAGAGGCAGCAGAGCCTGCTGCCATGAGGTCAGCCTTTGCTCGTTCATGTACACTGTCAGACCATCACCTTGTTCTGATTGTATACTGCATTTTTGTTTTTTAAAAGTTAAGTCAGTTCTGATTACTCAAGTAATGCATGAATCCATTCTCTAAGACATTAGATTTATAAATAAAGGTAGCCTCATTTGACTACCATTCCCCATCCCCCTCTAAACTGCTATCGTGTGTGTTGTACATCCATCTAGACTGTTTTTAAGACTTTTACGTATATAATTCATTGAAAATACTGTTGTGTATTTAATATAAATGGCATATTGAGTCGTTCTACAATTTGCTTTCTTCAATTTAACGATGTTTTTGAGATCTATGCATGTTTTTACAAAATGTAGATTCAATTCATCCTTTGTAATGGCTATATAGACTGCCATTATAGGACTCTATCACATCTTCCCATTTCTTTTGTGATAGATAGTTAAGACTGTTTTCTCTTTTTGCTATTACGGAATACTACACAGGAACAACACGTGTGTGTGTGTGCGCGTGTGTGTATGAGTTTACCTAGGGTTGCTTCCTAGGTTGAACTGCAGAGTCATAGGCTATTTATATTTTTGTTTTAAATAGATACTTCCAAATTGCCCTCCTGTACTATTTACTCAATATTTTCCTGAGGTTGTCTTAGGTATAATGTTGTTACCTACTTGAGTTTCATCCTAGGTAGTGATATCCGTGAAACCACGGGTTTGATATGCTAATTATGTATTTTTCTAATACATATTAAAAGGCATAACTCAAATTTGTGTTCAACCAAAGAAGTCACATACCACCAGTGGTACGTGTGCTATAGTTTGGGAAATGCTGGCATATCTGAAAGAGCACAGTCTGGGAGTCACCCTGGTTCAAATCCTAGCTGTAGAAACTTTAGCTCGTTACTTCACCTCCCTGAATCTCAGTTTCCTCGCATAGGAAAGGAGGTCATATGTGCCTACTTTGCAGCAGTGTAGGCAAGATGAAGTGAAATACATTTGAAGCAATTTGGCTGGCACTTAGATTATCACAGGCCTTTCAAGGTAGCAGTTACTATTCTCCTCACTTTACAGTTGAGGATACTGAGGCCCAGGAAGGTTAATGACCAAGCTACCAGATAACAGGGTTTGAACTCAGGCCCTCCGATTCAGTCTTGTGCTTTCTCCACTGCGAGGATGGTTATCAACCTTGGCTGTGTACCAGAATCACTTGTGAAGCTTTTTCTTTTTCCTTTTTAAAAATCAAAGCAATATATACACTGATTAGAAGGTGAAATAGTACAGAAGGGCTTATAATAAAAAGCAGCTGTTCCCTGCTGCACCTCCACATCCAAAATGATGTGGAGCTCCTTGCTCTGGTCCCGCCTCTGAAAGTCTAATTCAGTAGGTGTGGATAATAATATGGATAATAATCCTTACCTCACAGGGTGGAAAGGATTAGATGACATGCCTTGGGCTAAAGCCCTGGCCCACAGGAACACAAATGTGACAAAGGACTTAGGTCCTGGGGATCAGAGAGGTGAGAGGCCTTGTCCTAGAGCCCAGTGGTTCGTTGGCAGAGCCTAGACTTAACCAGGAGGATCGCTGTGCTTGCCCAGTGTTTGCCCACTGTGCCACACTGCCTCCTATCATCACAGGGCAACATGTGCTGAGTGAAGGCTGTACTCAGATGAGAGCCAACACCACAGTGTTGCCAAGAGTAGGCTATGTCCAAATAGAATCTCTAGGGCTAGTTGGATGGCACTAGGCTGACTCCTTTATACTCTGGACCCAGTAGCCTTGGTCTAGGGAGTTTAAGAAAACTCCATGGCAGTGTTTACCTTTAACTGGGCACTTCACTCTAGGAATCTCGTGTTGTGCGCCAGGGACACAAACAGGAGTTCAATCTTTACCCCGCCTTTGAGGAGCTCACTAGTTGGGGGAGGCAATTCATAGAACAGCCTTTAACCATACAGTGTGATAGCACTCTTGACGGGAGCATTGAAAAATGAGGAGTATCTAGCTTAAATGTAGAGGTTCCGGGAAGGCATCCTCTAGTCTAGGAGGTGACACCTGAGCTGAGTCTCGAGAGACTGGTAGGAACCATCCAGTTGAAGTAGAGGGAATTTCCAGGTTGTGGAGACAGTATGCACAAAGACCTGAAGGCAAGAAATGGCAAAACAGTTCCAAAATCCTGAAACAAGTTTTACTGAGGTGGGGAAGAACAGCAGGAAGTGAAGCTGGAGAAGTATTCGAGAGCCAGAGATTTGAAGAGGGGAGTAAGAGCCTGGTGACAGAGTTCAGATTTACTTCCTTGGGACAGTGTGGTTCCCAAACTGGCTGTGCACCAGAGACGCATGGAACATCCCAGGCCCCAGCCTCTAAACGTTCAATTTCTGTAATGGATGGGGCCTCAGGATCTTGAGTGCTTAGAAAAGTCAGCATGTGACTGTAGGGTGCAGCCAGGTTTGGGAACTAGCTGTAGGCAGTGTGGGAGCCACGGAATGGTTTTAGGAGACTGTGTGTCAGATGAGAACTTAATAAACCTTTTTCTGGTCAGCCAGTATGGAAATGGTTTAGGATAGATGTGCATGCTGTATGCTGCCAGACCTGTGGTTTCCCTGTTGCTCAGCTACTCACTGTATTGGCTTGTTTTGTCTCTGAATAAGCTAAAAGCACCACAAGGATGGGCCTGGGGTTATCTTGCTACTGGTATATCCCCAGCAAAAAGCACAGTGCCTAACCCAAAACAGGCACCCAATAAATAGTTTTTGAGTGAGTGAGTGCGTGAATGAATGCACTTGTGAGGGAGAGAATGGAGACAGGGAGATCAGTTAGGAAACTATTGAGAAGACTAGGAGGACTACTCAAGGGCAACAGTAGTGAGAATGGGTTGGAGGCAACAAAAGTGAGCTGTAAAGGGAAGGTGATGAGCTGGACTTCGTGACTGATTATTGGATGTGGAGAGTGACTGAGAGGATAAATGAATGTCCATCAGTAGCCCACATTCCTACCCTATCCCAGTCATTCTCCTCTTTCCTCATCCATCTAAGTCAGAATCTCCTTCCAGCCTCAGCAACTGGAACTCCTCCCCTAAGTTAGTTAAACATTCTGTGTGCTGTGTGGTCCCCCCCCCCCGCCCCCCCAGCCTCCCAGCCATTGATTCATTCATCCAGTTCAATAAATCTTGGCTAAGCACCTCCTGTATGCAGTGAGGCTCTTCCAAGCCAGGACTCTGACTCCCTCTTTCCTACCTCAAGAGATGTTTTTGAGGGCTTCCCCAGGTAAGACTCCCATCCCTTAGACCATAACCTAAAGTGAGATGCCTAGATGTCAGACCTGTAAGGGAACTTACAGACTTTGTCCAACTCCCTCCTGAGGCCCTGGGAGGGGAAGGAGCTTGCCCAAGGCCCCATTACTAGAAAGTGTCAGAGCCAGAACTGGAACCTAAGTTCCTTTTCCACATCACTCCTAGAGCCTTGATCTCTCCCATCACAGATCAGGACAAGCAGAGGTGGCCAGGGAGAAGGCGGGACTTAGGTTGGCCTTGAAGGTCAGTGTACTGGACAGGCCAAACAAGAAGCTTGCCAATTACACTGCCCCCTTCTGGAAACCCTCAGCAAACCTGCCATGCCCACAGTCCCTTCTAAGG